ATATTTTACAGATTGATTAAAATTGATTAGAGAATACCTTGTGTACATAAGATGTATTTGTTACGTTAGATTTTATCTTATAACTAGTAAATACATTATCAATTAATGTTACATGGAAATAAATAACAGCTATTAAATAAAACGAGGTCATTGTAGGCTCTTTGACGTATAAAAATAGTTCGCCACCTGATATTGTTGATTGTTAATCATAAGCTTTATTTCCTTTTAAATACTTACTTCTATTTTATGATGTTGGAATCATATACAAATCAATAAGCATTCAATATATAGTGTTTTCAATTCAAATCACTTACTTCGTAACCCCAAACTTGTACCAGGAATAAAACAGCCACTTGTCCAAATCATAACGTTGTGATACAAATCACTATTAACGAAATATAATTTATTTAATATCCACTTGCAATCGCATCATTCTCCATGCCAGTAATGTGACAAACATTTAAATTGTTATCGATGAATTAACAAGATGACAAGATAATCCAATGCATATTTAATTAATTAAAATGTGTACGATTAAGCTGAAAAACATAGTTAAAAAAAAGCATTAGAAAGGTATAATGTCATAAGCTCAAGTCAAAGTATATGGTATTTTTGCAATGCTCAAGTCCCCTGTATGGTTTACACCGCACATTACCTGTGAAATGCATGCTCAGCAGTCTCGCGAAGCACGATGTTCCAAATAATGTAACATAATATACTTTTCTTAAGTAAATAAATAGTATTTAATTTTAGTAGCAAAATAACTGTGTTACTGAATAAGTGATAATTTCCAACTGGATATCTTTCAAGTACTACACATTTTACATCTTAACTTTAACTTCATCTCATAATTTAATGGTCTACTGCATTAGCGTGGTCCACTAAGCGCTGCATAGTACATCAAATAGCACTGCGAGCTGGATTATCGATATCGATAACCCACCTAGAGCAGCCCTAAATTTTAATTCAGGCCATGGTAAGTGACGTGAGGGTTGTTTATACCCTTATTATTGTAGAATGGCACACAGTCGTCCCACGTATGGGGTGAACCCAACAAATTGTAGCGTATTATCTGGGCTATACACCGGCTTGATGCATTTTTACCAGATAATGCTTGTGATATCACAAGCAAAAAAATGCTAGCTCCTTTCTCGAAGGAATATAGGTAGCACTTCGAGAAAGGAGCTAGCATTTTTTTTAAGCGAAAACAAAGTGATTCCTTCGACAATGTAAGCATGTTTCAAAATGAGAAAATTAAAAATCCTTGTAAATAAGTGGTTTAGAAAAAAAACTGTTTCATAACTTTGTTTAAAGTGAAAAATTACAGAATCCATTCCTTTCTCCATACAACTCTACCCAATTTTGTACCTCAAGTATTATCATGCGAGCTCATCGTCGTAGGTCATGTGGAAGGAAAAAGGAGCCGTGGAAGATCACCCGCCCGATGGACTGATGCGGTCAAAAAAGTCTGCCAAACTGACATTCAGACATCTATCCGGTTGGCCGAAAACCGCAATACGTGGAGGGAGCTGGTACACCGGGTGCCCTCATGCTGTCGCGACCCTCAGTCATGAGGTTACGAGGAAGAAGAATTATCATGCATTTATGTGTAGAAAAATACGCCGAATTAAAAAAAATATTAATGGAGTTTATTATCCACTTGTACCACATAAAATGTCATTCAAATATTTTTATTATTGGGAACACAGATAATGTATTATGGTAAATGTGTTAATAACAATATTAGCTACGGAAATCGTGATTTTTGATACAACCAATCACAATCTTCTTCTTTCATTTTATGGTTTGTAATTGTGCCTTCACAATTTCACAAACAAGGAAGTAAATTTTAACCAATAGTATTAGCTGTCATCTGTCATTCAATGAGAAATGGCGTCAATACAACGTTTCATTATACGCAGATTCCCCATTTTAATTCAAATTTATAGATTTTTTTATTAATTTATTAAGGTAATTTGTAACAAGGTACAAAATTGAGCAAGATCTAATGTCTCCTTTGCTATAGGTATTCCTTGAATAATTATATACATTTGATAATTATTTGTAGAAGAAAAATCATTTGTTAGATGGATGATAAGTCTATGAAATGTAGTTATAACAAGAGTAATATCATCACCTGAAAAGACTTGAGTTGCCTAATGTTTTCATTGGTGGATATACGGCTTGTCTCGGCCTTTCAATAAAATTGAGCCTATCTTACTCAGGAATAATGTAGCTCTGTACAGGTGAAATATTTTTTAAAATGGATTCACTGGTTTAAGCTTCATCTTAGTCCTAAAAACAAAGTTTGCCTCTATAAATTATTAGAATGTATACATAAATAACTGTCCTTCAATGCCTTTTCGAATCAACATCGGCAGTATAAAACGTGGTTTAATTCCATCTTGGTTCAGTTTTCTTAAAATGGAAAATGCGAGAGGATCAATTCTCGCATGTTAGACTAAACACAAGGATAATTAACGTTTTCCGTGCAAAGAGCAAAAGCTTATGATAAATGGACAGGTTTCGAAAAAAAAATTGTAGAAGGAAATATGCTTGTAACCTGTTACGGTGGTGCCTTAAATATTCCAAGCAATATTTTAGGCACAACCAATACCAATTGTAATGGAAGTAAGTAACGTAATTATAGTGTGGAGTAAATTATGATATCACTCATGCAGCTACGAGTATTAATGCTTTGACAATTTCGCAAGGGCTGTTGGATTGTATGTGTAAAATTTGAGGCACCAAGCAAGAAATTAACAATGTAAGCTTATTTGATATTTCTTTAGCTTTAACTGATTACAATATTATTTTTAATTAAAAATAACACCGAAAACGCGTTTCACATTTCTTTCCATGATTGATTAACAAACGTAGTATAATAGTAGTATTTCCTGAATACGTGAAAAAGCACGCTTTGATATTACTATGAAAAGTTTTTATTGGGAAAGAGAGCAAAAACCTAAGCTAGTTTGATAGAGAATCTGGAAAGGTCGAATTTTAGGAATATTCCAGCCTATCTATGTAGCGTCATAATTATGCGACCGCTAATAAGGTTACTACAGAATATAACCATAAAAATAATTTCACGTACGTACTGTACAAGTGTGAAATATCGACGATTATCGACAACGACGATATCGATTGACGACCTCCGTTGCCGAGTGGTTTGTACGCCGGGTTTCATGGTGTCGCTGACTCGAGAGGTCCCTGGGTTCGAATCTCGGTGGAGACAGATGTTTGTGTTATGAACATGAGCATTTGTACTCCAGTCATGGATGTTTAATATGTATTTCTATAAAAAATACTTATATATGTACAGTATATGTATTCTATCCGTTACCCTAGCATCCCATAACACAAGACTTACAGTGTTTAAGTTTGTTGTTTATATTTTATTTTTAGAAATAACATTAGGTTGGTAAATTTTTCAAACAATATATGAGCATATTATATGTACTGAGAAAAACTAACGGATATGATCGAGTAAGTAATAAAACGGTTGTAAATTCTCGTTTGGAATGCCTCTGTGTGTATTTCATACACTTTAAAAATAGTGGAGAATATAGTCCGAGCGGTACTTTACGCACGCTACGTGTAACGCGCGCCTAATTGTGATATACAGTTCCGGTGGGAGACGGGCCGCTTCTTACTTAAAAAATAGACCTTAAACACAAGCCGCTAAGACCGAGAACGGTATAGCAAGGCATATTCCACCTCACCCTCAGTCTTGGCCCGAGAAATTGTTAGCGAAAGACTTATGGTCCGCTTACACAGTACCAGATATATGGCCCTGGGAAGACCAATTGTACAATAGTCATTTGCGGAATTAATTATTCTCTTAAACGAAATTTTGTTCGACGCAACTGATGTAAGTTTAGCGGCGTGTTTCCGTGGTAACCACTTTTACTTTTATAGCTAGTGTTTTCCGTAGGTGGGTAGTAAGTCATAACTGAGTACAATAATGTTTGTAGTCCAGTCGGAATAAACATGAGACCTATTCTAAGACACCAGCGCTTAGCCAATTGTTTCCTAGATAGTATAGACCCCCACGAATATGCCCTCCATTTGTCCCCGCTAGAACCCGTGTTTTGTAGCCAGGAAAATTGTTTAAACAAAGAAAAACCGGTTTTTTTGAGTTTTTTTGCTTGTAAACGGGGATTTTGAAAATTTTTTTATAGAATACAACGCAGTCTTGTAATCGAATTTTAGTTAATAGTTTTGTAAATAATTTCTGTACATAAATAAACTGAATTTTTTAAATTTTCAATCGTATATTCGAGTTGAGGAGAGAAAAATACATTAGTTTAAAAAAAAAATTGGCTAAGCGCTGGTGTCTTAGAATAGAAGTCGGTCCAAATTATGGCTATTCCGACTGGACTATTACCATTTTATGACAATATTAAGATTACTCTAATGATGAATTTCTTAGTGCTAAATTAAAAAAAGTTATGACAGATACAAATACTGTATAAATAACATGCGATGTGAAAAGGGACTAAGTCATCTTTATGAGTCTCAAATACTGCTTATCATCATTCAGCTCACGAGCTCATTGTTTCGACTTTGTGTAGAGATCGACTCTTAAAGTACTCCACCTCATAAATACAAGTGCGACTGATCAATAGATAGCAGCACATGTCGCGAGCCACTCGAGAAAAAAATCATTTGCGTAACAAAGCCAACAGCCGAAGCATATTGGCAGAACACTCACTACCAATCAACGTCACAACGGGCTCGCCCCCATCGCACATAAAAAAACAAGTGTTTGCTCTCATAAAGCATCACTACAAATCTGTACAGAGATGATTGTTTATGTTTCATACGGGCCCGAGTGCCATTGTTGCGCGAGGGGTGCAATAAAACGTGCGATTTAACATGAATACAAGGAGTTAATTCGAGCAAGGAACAATAATGACCGTTAGTTTTATTTTAATCCGCTCAATGAGGTATTTGGCAGTACGATAAAACGAATTACAAAGTCTTTTTTCTCACAGATGGGCCACCACGGGATGGAGGGGCTGGACATGCTGGACCCGCTGTCTTCTTCGTCAATGACCACGTTGGCGCCGATGGGCGAGGCGGCGCCACCTCACCACCAACTGCACGGGTACGGGATGAACCACGTCATGAACCACCACCACGCGGGAGCCCTGGCGCACCCGCCCGCGCACCTCGCCCACCCCGCCGCCGCTCTACACCCCGACACTGACACAGATCCAAGGGAACTAGAAGCGTTCGCCGAGCGCTTCAAACAGAGACGCATCAAGCTTGGAGTGACACAAGCGGACGTAGGCAAGGCTCTAGCGAACCTCAAGCTGCCCGGCGTCGGCGCGCTTTCCCAAAGCACCATCTGCCGCTTCGAAAGCCTAACTCTCAGCCATAACAATATGATCGCGCTCAAACCTATACTACAGGCGTGGCTCGAAGAAGCCGAAGCGCAGGCCAAGAATAAGCGGCGGGATCCTGATGCACCGAGCGTCCTCCCTGCCGGGGAGAAGAAGCGAAAGCGCACCTCCATCGCGGCACCCGAGAAACGCAGCCTGGAAGCGTATTTCGCAGTGCAGCCGCGCCCATCTGGGGAAAAGATAACCGCCATCGCGGAGAAGCTGGACCTGAAGAAGAACGTAGTGCGCGTGTGGTTCTGCAACCAGCGGCAGAAGCAGAAGCGCATGAAGTTCGCGGCGCAGCACTGACCGGCGGGCGGCGGCGCGGCGTTGCTGTACCCTGGCGGCTACGGGTACTAACGCCCCCGCCCCGCGCACGCCCCGCTACCACCGTCTCGTTTCGATCTCGACCCTACGACACCCCTCTCGTCGAACCGCAACTAGACATTAGTGTAGATATTGTATATGATACCGATTTTTCGTTTATTCGTATACACTGTACGATGACTTCTTATATATTTTTCGAGACACAGGGTATATATTTGATTATATACATATCATTACAATAATGAAAGTCGCTTTAATACGACCGCTTTCGTTTTGACGCGCCACGTTTTGATGTTTCCGTGACATCAATGATATAATACGAACTTACATAAAAATGAAGATGACGAAAAAAATGAAATTCAGGATTTTTAAAAGAATGTGCCTTGCAAATATCAATATTCTGTGTTTAATGTTAGTAACTTCATCGCTGCGAGTCGCAGAGTCTCGGACACGGCCGTTGGTGTCCTCGAAATACATCGAATACAATAGGGTGTGAATGTGAGCGGGCGGCGGGAAGCGGCGCGGCGAGCGATCGGTGGTGGCGTCGGGCTGTTCCTGCTACGCCCCGTGCTGGTTGGGCCAGATTCACCTAATGGCAGTGCGCTGGCCGCTCTTACCAATTTCATATTTTATACTACATGAGCGTGTCGTTGCATGTGATATGGAACAGTGGGAATAACCCGCCGCAGAGCGCGTGCCGACCTACGCCCCCTCCCTGCTCACACTATATCGTTTAAATTATATTTATTGATAACATTTGTTAGAATTTCTGTTCTTGTATTATTGAATTGTACAAATAAATATAAGGTGAACCATTTCGTTCAATTTGTAGATAGTTACTATGTAGATTTTTACCGATTACGTTCGTTGGTTTGTTAGTTTTTTGATACTTGATTATGAGAATTTCACGAATGGCACAATTTTAGATTATAAGAAGTTATTAGTGACATTTAGCCAAAATAGTGTTAAAGCTCATTTGTAAATAAACATTTCGATTTCAACTAGCGATTAGTTCGAAATACATAATAGTTACTAAAATGAAAGGAATTAGTACAATGCTGATGGACGTGCACATATATACTAAGAAAATGATCACTGTGTTCAGACTACTACTGCTCTAATAGTTTCTCTAAACAATTGTCAACATTTATAATCTCTAAGGAGTAAGCTGTACATCTTTGTTCTAAAACTTGAACTCTAGAGGCCAAATACAGGTTTGTGTGCTCGTAAGGTTTCGAGCAATGTTCCTTCAGATATGTCGTCGTAAGTTGAGTAAAGTCGTGGAGTATTTTCATATTCTAAAATAGAATTATTCCATGAGCGCAATAATTAAGTTACAAGTAATCAAATGTAAAACTTATGAAGTGTCGGGCTCGGGAAAGTAAAATTATTTTTGAACAAAAAAGAGATATAATTATTCCTGTTAGCTTACCTTATTTAGTCTTACGAGTTTTTGACTGGTTGAGTAAATTTTTGAACCTATTAATTAAGGTATATTGCATTGCACTAAAAAATTGTTTATACCAAAGATATCATTTTATTAACTATCTGATTTTCTGGAGTCTATGCCCAAAATTATGTTAATAACGCATAACAAGAAGTTATATAAAGTTTCCCAGATATCTATAGCCTCGCCTCTCGAACCGAGTGTAATTATTTCTAATTAAGTTTCCTTTCATTGATTTTAACATGAGTATGAATAAAACCCATAAACCCTGCAGCTCAGACATTTAATAGTTTCATGATGGTTGTGGATTACCAACATCGCGAATTTATCTAGCTTACTACGTCAGAAGGTTTTGTTTTAAATAAATTCGTTACAGGATTCAATGTCTCCTAATCCATAGTGGTTAACAAATCCATCATACCCCGTTTAGTAAAATTTAAACAAAAACACAATTTATATTGTTCAATGGGATAAATGGAATATAACTTAAAACTAAACCACATGTTGTAAGAACGAAATTGAGAAAAAATATAATAATTTATCAACTTCGCGAATTATAAATAATATTTTTAAAATATATTTTGTAAATATAGATTTAAAATTGTATAAGTTAATGAAACGTGCAATTTAGAACTCGTTGATTACGAATGATAAACATTAGGTTAATGATAATTATTGAATAAAAGAAATGGAACTATTCAAAATGAACGCTTTACTGTATCCAAGTCTAGTCATCGCTTTAAATTTGTTTTAAAACCTGCAAAAATGTGATAATTAAAATGACACTGAAATTTATTATAAAAGAAAAAAGGTATTTCTTTTTTGACATAAAAGTTGTATTTCGTAGTTCGTTAATGTAATTTATGTTAAAATCACATTGACAAGTAATTTATGTTTTGTTTGAACTTTGTTTTTTTACATTATGTAATAGTTGTGAGCAACTATTAATACTTTTAAAGTAACAGTAGAGGTACAAAGTAAGCAATAATTATTTATAATTACTTCAATGAGCAATATTTTGTATGTTTTGATTGAAATTTAAATGATAATTTCTTCATAATAAAGTTTTCAGGATTTAGATATATGTGTAATAAGTTTCTACAAAAGATTGATAAATATAGTCTGCAGTGTAGGAATCTACAAAATATCAGTATTAATATTTTACTTTCTACAAGTATGATGGTTACTTTTATTTTGATATCAACAGCACAACAATGTACCTAATCTCAAACTGTCAAGTTAAGCTTTAATTTTCAATAAACTTATGTGTGGCTGACTTTATTTCAACATTATAAATTCAATATTATTTGAAAATACTACAAAAGACACTGCTTCGAAACATAGTTATGTTCAGCGGATTTTATAAAAATATGTACTTACCTATCACGCTATATTCTCTTTTTATTTTCAATGATAACCAAAGTGTTTTTCTTAGTCATAACTCAATGTAAAAGTCTGATTTTATTTTATTTAAAACATTAACTATTAAATAACTTGAATGAAAAAAATTATTGAAACCGATGAAGTAACTCTCGGATAAAATATTTTTACAAACAAATTTTTTTTTTTGTAAATAAAATTTAAAAAAATTATAGTAGACCGATTATAACATTTATTGCTATTAGTTCACAAGCGGACCCCTGTATGCGTTTTCGGGATGACTGTGCTTGAGGTACGCTCAAGAAAGAAGAATTAATTGTTCTATAATTTTAATAATGCGTCTGAATACAAATATGGTGGTCCGCCAAAGATAAGTTAATGGTAGTCTTTAGACGATTCTCTCGCAATTATTACTTCTTAAATAATTATTATTATTAATAATAAAAAGAGACAATCTTATTTCGAAAACCAATAAACAACAATTCGAACATAGAAATATTAGTAATGATTCGTTTGTTTTATTGAGATTCCACGAAACCAATGAAACCGCCTGCAGTCAGTTTAGCTGGGCTCCTGATATCTCGGTTAATCTTATGTACTCGTAAGTATTAAATAGGTAGCGGCAAACTTCTTGAGCAAAACCACAGACAAACTTGCGCAGTAGACGCTTTTGTATGTAAAGTTGCTATTGCACAGGCTTTCTTGTCTATAGCCGATGCTCAAGAAATTTACCCAGGTGTACCTATCGCGTGTTCATCTTATTAGATGAATATTATTATAAAAATATTATTATATTCCTTGGGTTATAATCATGACGATGGTTTTATATTACCTATAACCTGAGGTTAATATAATTACCCATAAAGGAGCTCGATGGCGCAAGTGGCTACGAGTGCGATAGTTGAAGTTAAAGTAACTTAGGTCACCCATCCAATGGGTTCCACCATTGGATGGGTGACCTAAAATTTACTATCTTGAGCTCCTCCGTACTTCGAGAGGCATGTTCAGCCGTTGGTCCTGCATCTGCAGTCGTTAGCACACACCAATCCGCACTGGGCCTTATCCATCCATTGCCTGTGTCCCAACAGGGGGATATTAATAGTCTGATGATGATGATGATATCTAGAAATGATTATCTCACTATCATAACGTAAGTTAATGTTATCGTTATACCTCTACATATTTATTTAATAATTTTAAATCATCAGAGTCATAGCCAAAACTACTTTGTTATGTTCGATCGAAAAATACGTTAAAATTAGTGCGATTGGATCATCAAAACTTATTATGCGCAAATGAATACCAATTTTTTTATTACGGCCAAATATTTCATACTTTTTTTATGTAAAATCTCTATTGGGGCTGGTGTGGAAGCAACCACTCATTTCACTTGCCTGCCTGACCAAACATTTTTGCTTTCTCCCCCGAAAGATTTCACTAGGCGACTCAAATCCCAACTTCCCCCTTCCCCCAGGCCGTCGGCTAACGAACTTGCTCTATCCCACCCCAGACCATCAGTTGGCCCTTGTGCCTCTTGTACAGAAATCAATGTCACGATCAAGATCAACGGACTAAATCGACTGATGGACATGTTTCGATCGTCGACAATAGTTAGAAATACTTTTCATACTTTATTGACTTAACTCATATAATTACTACCGGGTATTATAACACCCAACTCATACGAAAATTTCCAACCCAACGGACAAATTCGACAAGATAATAACAAAATCGTTATTTTGTACAAAATAAAGATTTTGTTATTATCTTGTCGAATTTCTTATGTATTTTAATTCGTTTGTTAACATATAACCTACCCTTACAAATCAATGCCAATTTCGTATGGAAACTTGTACAGCAGCGCCACAAAGTGCGTAACGAGAACTGATAATTAGTCACGTTTGACTACGCTACTAATTCCATATTGGTTCATGCTAGGGGTACTGAAAGTAATGTGTACAACTGCTTATTAATAATTTATCCTTGGTTTGTTAGTAAATTTCAATTCCAAAGTGTAACAAAATTTTGCTGCTTGTCATGAATTCTAAAAAGGGTGATATGAAGCGGTAACCGCTTCAATTACATAAATACTATATAAAAACTTAATAATATTGTTACTTAGGGTATAACTTATTATAAAAAATATAAAATGTTGGATTTAGCTAGCTTTTGTGTTGGGTTACCTGTTATTTGTCTTGGGTGTTATACACCCGGTAGTTATATAGGGGAATACTTGGGTTTTTTGTTTGGTTTTTTCAAAGTCATCATCATCAGCCTATTAATGTCCCCACTGCTGGGTTACAGGTCTTCCTTATGGATGGAATAGGGAGATTTGGCCATTACCCACCACGCGGGCCCAGTGCCGATTTACGGGTGCTAACGACTGCAGATGCAGCCGCGACCAACGGCTTAACGTGCCTTCCGTTTCCGTCTGCACGGAGGAACTCGAGATAGAAGATTTTTGGCCACCCATCCAATGACGACCACTGCGAAAGTTGCTTAACTTCAACGATCGCAGCCGAACGCGCTAACCACCCATGCCATCGAGCTCCTTGTTTTTCAAAGTAAATCGCTGAAATATGAGATTAATCGATGAATTGGAAAACCAAGACAAAAATGATGTATTACCGGATTATATCATATGTTTTTCTACAAGAAAATGCAAATGGTGTCTTTTCTGATGAAGTTACTGGGGCTGAAATAAACATTTTTTTATCAGGGTAGGCTAACGGCCTTCGGCATGAGATAGTTTTCAAATACCTCACGCTCATTTTTTTTTAATATTGTTTTTAGCAATGCAAAACAAGAAAAAGAGCGTGAGGCATTTGAAGACCTTCGGCAGTCAGAAATAACAAAATGAAATCGTAAGCGATAGCGACAGTCTTATCAATCCCGTTAGGTGATTGGCCCCCTGAAACCTTATTCACCGACAGAAACGACACCACCTAAGGTAGTGTTATTTTACTGTGGTCTTTTGTAAGGTGGAGGTGTTACGTCCCCCGACGGGCATGACTTTGCAACAGTGCAAGTCACAAGTTACTCCGTTATCGCTTGCAACAGTGCCGAAATATCGGAAAATCGCTAAAAATAAGGTACATGGTAACAATCCCGTAAATAACATAAATTACTAGAAGTATCCATTTTTTTTTTTCAAAAAGCATATTTATTTCTTAAATTTGTAAAATGGTCAAAATTCTACTAGTGGAAAATATCAAATGTATGTAATAATTACACTCAACAAAATTGAATATTCTGTGGTTTCTGTATAGCATACCGGGTGCTAAGAATACCTACTATTAAAACTACAAACTCACAGGTAATCATGGGCTTATTATAAATCCATGCAGGTAATTCTAAAGTGTAAATAGGTATCTGTCAATAGAGGCGAGACCACCAATAAGCGTCAATCAACATGACTCAGTGTCTAGAATTAGACTGCAGAGTTTGCATGCACTAGTGGCTTTCTGTGAGAATCCACACATGCTCCTTATACAATGGTTATCGAACTCACAATGAGGAAAAATAAATACCCTACTTTATTCATGGAGACAAAATAACTCTAGGTACCAGTCGCGGGTAGCTGTCCTCATCAAGTAGTCTCAGGAAATGTAAGTATAAAAAAGTAGGTATTTGGGTAACCTTTTCATTTATTGCGTAAACACATGTAGTCTGCTGATGGTAAGCCATTACCGTGGCCTATAGACTTCTAAAATATTAGGAGACCTTACTCTATTATATCGAAATACTATAAATATTCGGTAGTTTCTTACCTTTGTTTCTTTTTCGTTTCGAACCTTCGTTCCCTTATAAAAGTTTGTGCCGTATAAATTTTCCAAGCCTCCTCTAAATCACGTGATTTTTTAACGAAGTTGAATTTGGCATTATTATTTACTGTTTGATATTTT